TGCTGTCTGCGTTGCAGATGTGATTTAACTCTGATTACCTTGATTTGTCAGTGAATTTAGGCCCAGTAGCATTTAAGATAGTAACTTTCTGCGGATATCTGACTGGGTATTAGAGCGTATTGTCCCTGATGGCAACAGCTCAGTAATTTGAAATCGTGTGAAAGCTTACATCTGGTTGAAGTAGAAGGTCATTTCATGTGAGAGCAGCTCTGTCACGTGTCTGCATTATCCACACATTTGGTTACTGAAAGACTTATACATGCAAGCCTAGCCTAGGGTAGTATGCAATGGTAAGTCAAAGGCTGAGGAGGAGCTAAATCATGAAAGAATCTTGATTTTCATTTGGACACATGACTGCTTAGAGTAGTTTACATTTCCCATCTAAGGATGAAATGAAAGGGAAAGTGGTGTATGCAACTTTAGGAAATTTTCCTTAGATGCAAGAATGCTCTTCTCTTCCTCCTTCTTCCCTTTCATCTTTGCTCTTGCAAGGTAGGCATGATTGCTGCAACTGAAATTAGGAATAGTGGGCCACAGATGGCTAAGCAAGAAGACAGAGTGTCTATTTCAGTTTGGCATGCTTTTGAGGGCCATACCTGCACTAGACCACCTACCTCTAGATTTTCATTTGCAAAAGAAACAAATTTGTCTCGTTTAGGTCATTGCTATGTTTTGTTTCTGTTGCTTGAAGCCAAAATGAATCCTAACTAATATAGTATGTATGTATCACTTAAAAAAATATTTTTGCTTCAGTCAACTTTTTCCCACTAACTGAACAACCACTGATTTCATTCAGATAAAAGGGCTTTTATTGCATATGAAAAAAAAGATTACTTTGAATATGTAAACATTATGCACCCTCTCCCCTTTTACAGCAATTATGGCTGAGATATATATCATTATACAAAATCCTTTTCCATATCCCTATTTCTGTAGAAGAGATATCTATAAATAAAGACACAGGATTTAAGTGCATATATATTCTATAAGGCAGTTGTTTCATATTGTCAGCTTTCTTTCTAGAGCAACTGTGTCAGTGTATATTACTAGCATAGAGGCATGTCTGTCTCAATACACTTTCGTTAGAGTTTAGTAATAGAGCACTATTGCTATTTCAGCTAATTATGTGGTCAAAACATGAAACATGATAGATCTCCTTGTTGGATATATTTTTATGTGTTAGATTTCTATAGGCAGAACATATTTCCTTACATTTATTGGCCATTTCTATTTATTCTGTGAAAAGATTGTTTTAAAGTCTTTTCTAAACTTTCATAGTGTTGGGGATCTTAGTATATTTTTTATTGATTTGAAAGGGTCTAAAAATTGTAATAGTCACTTACATATTTTAATTCTTGTTACCTTATTTGATTAGATATTCACCTTTGATTTTTTTTTCATTTTTGGGGAACTTTCCCTTTGAGATATATATATATATATATATATATATATATATATATATATATATATATATTCAATTTTAATGGTGCTGAAGTCAACAGTGCCATCTTTTTTCAAAAACCACTTTCGTTTGCAGAGAGTTACATTGTATGATAGCATCTGTGCTCACACATCATCTGTATGTTGTCTCCTCATTGAGTAGAATGTGTTAAATACATGTAACATAGGTGCTAAATATAGTAGCAAAAAGGACATAGGATTTATTTTATTTTTATGGAAGCTTCACCTTAGAAAAACATTGGCAAGAGTCACGGATTTCCTGGCAATGAAGTGGGATGCTTTATGTCTTAAACCAGGTATAGAAGACTATGTCCATGAGATTAAAAATGATTTGGAAGCACGAAGTTTGAGAGTCAAAGGTAAGCAGCTGCTGTAAAAGTGATGCCTTGACATTTGATTAAGCTACATAAACAATTAACCTATTCTCTCTCTTTCATTGCTTTTCTTTACTCATCAGTATTTTTATTCACTTTACCCTTCCCATTTCGGGTTCTTTCTTCCTCATTAGTGTCTTTGTAAGTTTGCTTATACGTGGTCAACTCTGTGCTGAACACTTCCAATTACTTGTTTAACTGACCATGCTTAGTTTTCAGTTAATATTTCATTTATATATATATACACACATATATGTATATGTATGTGTGTGTGTATATATATATATATATATAAATATATGTGTATATATACATATATAACTTTTACTTTGAAATTGCATTTTCCTGTATTCCTCTAGACCTCTGGTGTTGTGATAAAGCTGATTCTAAAAACTGATCTGTAGCTACTATTTAATATTTCTGATGCTATCACTAATAATCTTTAATATCTATACATTATCAATATATATATTTTATTAATCTAAATGTATATTAAACATGTATTTAATATTTCTGGTGCTACCACTAATAATGTTTAATATCTATACTTGCCGTTATATATATTTTCAAAATATTATTTTTATTACTTATCTTAACACAAACATTAAGCATTTGAGAGATGAATTGAGTAACTTCCATTTTTCCTCCTTTACAAATAAGAGCCTCTTGTCACAATTGGCTGGAGTCTACTCTTTCCAAAACTATTTAAGTAACAAGTGACTCCAGATGTCAATTTGTATTTTCTCTAAGTACCCAGGGGAGTACATGGATGTCCTGTATTAGGCAAATTCAAGTAGCATAACTTCAGTTTGTGAACATCTAGTTGGTCAGAATGCAGCAATACCATTAAATGTCCCTTCTCACCCCTGATTTTTTTTTTTTTTTAAGGAGTAACTAAGTGCAAAGGACTGTGGATATAGAGTGATTTTTTTTTTTATACAGACAATTAAAACTAGGAATTTGCATTCAAGAAAAACTGTAATCTGAAAAGGCAAACTGACAAACCATTGATGATTTAAAAGGAACAACGGAAAAAGCAGAATAAAATGGGCGTTATTCAACAGATGTCATCAAAGTGTTATGAAATGTCATGAAAGGAATGACTTTTGGGGAGGGAGCATTGGTGAGAAAAGGCTTCTTGGAGAATGTTGGATTGGAGTTGAGCTTTAAAGAATCGAATGAGATTTTAACTGTCATTTTGTGTTGGTTATAGTTTTAATTCTAAAGAGGTTTCAGGTTCTTAAGATATGCTTGGATTGATATTACCTTTTAAAGAGCTCCTAGAAGTAGTTCTAAATGTATACAATCAAATGCAATTTGGGAAATTTAACTATAGATGTAATGTGCTTGTTGGATGAAGATGATATACATTAGTGACTTGAGTGTCCTAGTAGAGAAAATAACAGCCATTTGAAATCACAAAATTCTACATCAGGAAAAGACCTGACAAATCATCTACTCAACACTCTCCTTTACAAAAAGGCACCAAACGATTCAGCAATTGACCAAGGTCACTCATTTAACTTGAGCAGACTTTTCCTCTCTCAGAAGGCATGGCTTTGGAATGGACACCTTTCTGTATCCATTATGGTAATTTCCACTGATGTCATGAAATAAGATAATTGAATCTCCAGGCTTCATCATCAGACAGGGATACTTTAAACTGCAATGAACTTGCAGGTTGAGTTAAGTCTGAAGGAACATAAAACGGACCAAAGGCAGGAAACATTTTCAGACTCGGTACTTGGATGATGAAAATACGGAATGATAAGCACCTGAAAAAAAAAAACAAAAAACGAGACACTGGCAGGACTTTCAAACTCATGTCGTTTACTCACCTAGGAAGGAGTGGGAGAGGAAGACTAGAGGAGAACGGAGGGAGGACGGGGCGGGTGTGATGGAGTGTGGGAGGGGGAGAGAGAGGGAGAGAAGGAGAAGGAAAAGGAGGGGGGGAGAGAGAGGGAGAGGGAGAGGGAGAGGGAGAGGGAGAGAGAGAGAGAGAGAGAGAGAGAGAGAGAGAGAGAGAGAGAGAGCGAGCGCGCACGAGCAGAGGCGAGCCTCGAAGCCGCTGGAGAGGTACCCTTTGTCTGACAAACCCTGAAAGGGAAGCCTCCAGTAGCTGCCCTCCCGTTCGTTCCCACCTCCAAGCGTTTGCCGAACTGCTAGGTGGAGCCCGCGCCGCGGAGCCCGCGAGCACTCCAGATCCGGGTTTTGCCGGCCGCCCCTTTCCCCGGAGCGAGCCCCCTCCCCGGCTCTCCGAGCTCTCGCCGCCCGCCCGCCTGCAGCTCATTCTGGCCTCGGCTCGGGCCCCGGCTGCGTCCGCCCCGCGCGCCCGCGCTCTGACCCGCTCTCGGCGCGCCGCCCCCCGTAGCCTGCCGCTCGGCACCGCGCGCTCCAGTTCCCAGGAGCGGGGATGCAGATGCCGCAGCTGGTCGGGGTGGGCGCCGCCGCCGCCGCTGCTGGCTTTTCCCGGACTGCTCGTTGCCTCCGCTCCGGCAGCTGCCGCCGCCGCCTGTGACTCGCCCCCTCCCCTTTCTTTCTTCTCTTTTTGCCTCAGTCCTCTTCCTCCGGGAGTGCGCGCGCGCGGGTTGCACGGTTTGCTCTGGCAGGAGCTCGCTCGTGTGTGCGCGTGTGTGAGTGTGCGTGTCTGGAGAGCGCCAGTGCCTCGCTCGCTCCTGGGGAGTCGAAGGAGAAAGAACCGAAGAGACAGCAGCGGCGGCGGCGGCAGCGGCGCGGAGCCCGGGGCCGCGCGATGAATCTCCCACATGCCTGCGGCCGCCCGGCCCGGCCGGCGAGCTAATCAGCCACCCCCAGGGCTCGGGGCTCGCCGGCCCCCGGGACGCAGCCCTCCGCGGCCGGGCGCCCGCTCTGCCCGCACGCCCCCGCCGTGCACCCGGGAAGGAGTTTGCGTGGCTGTCGCTCCGGCTGTCCGCGGAGGTTGCGGGCGCGAGGGGGAACCCTCGGCTGGGAGAGAACCTCGGGAGGACGAGGAAGAGGACGCTTTGGCGGAGAAGCCACCCCTGGCCCTCGCGGCTCCCCCTACCTATTCCATCGCTCCCGCTCCGAGGCGGAAAGGGGAGGACGTGGAAGAAGAAAAAGAAAGAGAAGGGGGGTGGGGTGGGAGAACTGGATATAAAGATCGGCTGGGGGGATGGTGGAAGATTTTTGGTCTCTTCGGCAGCGTCTTAAGCGGCGGCGGCAGCAGCAGGGAGAGGAGGAGAAGCAGCCCCGGCTATGACTACCGCATGTTAATAGCTGCCGCTGGGTCCCTCGGCTGCTGCTGGAGACAGAGCCTGACTCCGAAGTTGTGCAACTGTGGACTGGGAGAGACATTTGAACCCTCTTTTCTCTTCGCTCCGCCTTTGCCCCCTCGGCGTGTGTGAAGCGAGGAACCTCAAGGAAGGCGAGCATTTGGCTCTCGTTTCCCTTCCCCTTTCTCCGAAGCTGTGTGGGAGAAGAAAGGGAAGAGACTTTTTGTTGTTGTTTCCTTGACTGGGGTCTCCACCCTCCTGCTGCTTTCTCTGCGCTTCGATTCTCCTTCTTAGCCGCCTGTGGTTGGGGGTGTCTGCACAGGGGCCGGCCGGTCTTTTGCCCCGGGCTCAATGGCTGGATTGTGGAAACTGCACTCAGGTTGTTGAGCAACTGATGGGACGATCTCAGGGACCGGCGGTTACGAAAGGTAATTTATTCTTCGCACTCTTCATAATAGGGGTCGCCCTGGCTGGGCGCAGGCGGCAGCATCCGCCGGGCGGGCCACAGAGGGGGTGCTGGGTGCACACGCACACTCGCCCTTCCACTCACACACTCGTCCTCACATACACACACTCATCGGGTCGTGATGCGGGCCGGGAAGGGAACCTCCTAGCTGGTGGGCGCTCGGGTCTGCCACGGGTTCGAGTTTTCTCCAGCCATTGGGCGATTTGGCAGCGGAGGGGAATGAGGGGGATACGAGACTGGGCGCCTTCGCAGCCGCACACGCTGGGGAATGGGAACAGTTTCCACCCCGTACATTTTCTCTCCCCTCTCACCCCAGTGCCATCCCCTGGTGGGGGCAGAAAACGGACCAGAGGGCGCCTTTTCTCCGCCGGGCTGGAACTGGTGCCGCTGGAGGCGGGAGCGGGCTGGAGGACCGACAGGGTCTGGGTGAGGAGCTGGGCTCTGGGAAAATGGAAAACGCAGGGTGCCTAGCCTGGCGCGATTCTCCCTCGACGCCCGCCTGGAGCATCCCTGGTGGCCGCTTTTGCCCAGGTCGCGCCCCTGAGTCGTGGAGTCGCGCTGCCTCCCCGCGCCCCGCCTGTTGTGTCCCCTTCACGGCACTTTGGTTTAGACCTCCGTGCCCAGGCTTTGTGAGGTGGTTTTGGCTGGAGAAAGCTGCCACTTTCGTGGGTGGCCCGGGCTGCGTTGTGCTGGTAGTGGGCACTGGGCGGGGGGCGGCGGTGTTGCACGAATCCAGGCGGCCGCGGCGCCGGGGCGGGGTGGGCAGAGCATTGGTGGTCGAGGTTGGCGGGTTACAGGTAGGAGAGGAGGCACCTCAGCGCCTCTCTCGGGAGAAGGGAAGGCTCCAGGCTGCAGCGGAGCGTCAGAGCTGCCGAGACTCAGCCTCCGGTCCCAAGTCGGAGCTCAGAAGCTTAGCGTACCAGGCCCCCCGCGGTAGAGGTGGGTGTGTGTGGGTGTGTGTAGGTGTGCGGGCGACCTCCTCTACCAGGGTTACTTGGCGGCGGAGTAGGCGTGTGAGTGTGTGCACATATTTGCGCCCCAGGTTCGGCAGGGAGATACTTGCGGGGATGCCTGAGCTGATGCCACTGGAGCTGAGCTTGCTTATTGAAATCGCCTGGGATCCGCTTAACTGGAAAATCTGGTGTGAGGAGGCCACGGGGACTCCCGCAGGGTGGCGAGGAAGCCTCGCCAGGACCCCTTCCCCCGGAGAGGCGCAGCTCTGCGAGATGCGTGCGGCGCGTGAGAGTCGCTGGTGCAGCGCTTGATGCACCCCAGCTTGGCCCTGATGTGGACCTCATAGGGTAGTCATCTCTCCAGCAGATTGAAGTAATCGAGTCTAGTTAGCGTAACTCCTGCTCCCTGGAATTCTCTGGCCACTTTCCTCCCTCTGATAGAAACATGCGTTGCTTTTATTTATGGCCAGAGATATCATAGCAGTTGGGCGAACTCGAGCCTTGCGAGCCACCTCCAGGGTGTCTCCTCCCTGTGTCTGCCTGTGATCCCTGCCTGCGTTAGTAGTTAGAGCACATTGTAAACAACGGTGTAAGCACTCCTGCCACAGTCTCCTTTAGAGTCGAACCTGCTGTCGTCTGTTGTGTTTACTTTCCTGGCTGCATTACTCATTAGGAAGTATAAAGCTTCTTGCACCTCTGATTTTACATCCTTCCAGCCAGCTGCTGGGGAAATGAGGAGACGCATAGACTCTGGCAGGAAGGAAAAATTGCCTTCTGTGTTTTGCTCTGAAGTAAATAGGCGGTCTGCTAATTTTAGTGTCGTATGGGCTATCAGCACTAGTTAAAGAATGTCATCGTAGACTCTGCAAAGAAACACTTCTTTAGCATTTTTTCATTTGGAGACTCTCCTATATTTCCCTATGAGAATAAACAGAGTTAAGTAAGATTTCTCTAGTATATTTTTCCATCTGTAATGGTCCAAAATGATCTGGACTTCTGGTGCCCAATTTTTCTGTATGTGAATTACAAATAGGATAGAATTCTCTGCTCTTTTATACATCACCGAAATAGGATACCAGATAATTTGTATGGGAGTTAAGAAGATATTCGTGTGTTGAATTTTCTCTCAGCTTTGTTTCACTCAATCTTATTTATTTATTTATTTTGTAATCAAAGCCAGGGTAAAGCATGTACAAAGATAAACACAGTTTATAAACTGTTACTTTTGCAAGTGAAAGTGCTTTTTCATTTCAGTAATTAAAATGTATTAAATTCCTTAGGTCTAGGTTAGCTCTGACTGTTTTGGTGTTTGTTGCAAATGCTTGTATTCTATTCTGTTTTAAAAAGTATAGCGCTGTTAATGTAACAGGGTACTTTGTTTTTAGATACAATTGTGTCTGGATGTCTTCATTATTTTTTAAAGACCTTGAACTCTTGAAAAAGCATAGATTGCAAAAGACAAATGCCAAATCATTGATGCCTGACTTTAAGTTATATTTTTTTTATGAGAGATAGTGCTAATGGCTATTACCTTAATAGAAAACTTACAAAATTTTGATTTAATTCATGAGAATCTAGCTTCATGTATTTGTTTCATTTCTAGAAGATACGTGTTCAAGTTTTTAAACCTGCAAATATTCCTGAGGATTAAAGAATACTTGTCCTCCCATTTTAGAAGATTTAATCACAATGATTCCCAGTCCTTACATTACAAGATTTGATCAGATCTGTTCTTTGTTTCCTAGCAGCATGTGTTTCCTAGCAGTCATACATTCCACAGGTCCTGATGTCATTAGAACAGTGTCTGTCAGTGTATTGTACTGTCTTTAGCTGAAGGTGAATGTGTCAGAGTATTTGAATGCCATTCCATAGCTCTTCTTGATCACTAAGTATTCAGTAACCTGATCCATTTGTGTATATGGTTGACTAGATTATTTCTACAAAATCAAGGTAGGAGGAATGATTAATACAAAGTTTTCTATGAACTATTTCATTCTTTTAGATAGAGATGTTAGGCTGCATCAAGAGTCGCTGGCCTGAAGAGTGATAAGCCAGCATGTGATTTGCCTGATGGGTAAATGCTTTTGATGTCTCATTTTAGGTTGCTTGGTGTGATTATCCTTCAGACTGAGAGTGCTCCTTAAAAATATGAATGGAAAGGCTTTCAGAAATGATTTTCTTAATCATGATCTTCTTACACTTTGCAGATTTAAATACTCTTTTCCACAGGGAATAATAGCAAGTATGGCAGTACTGGCTGCGGCTACTCTGCCTGGCATTGTTTCTACTCATTAGGAAAGGCAGGTTTTTTATGGATTTGATTTACCATTGATTCCTTTGTGAGCTATATATAGCCAAGTAAATCATAAATAATAGATTAAAAAAGACTATAAAATCATGAGGATTGAAGTTAATCAGATAAAATGATGCAAAGCTGAATTGTTTTTCAGATTTGATTTGGACCACTTTAAGCGTTGGTTGAAACTCTCTTTGAAAAGGGCTGCCAAGTAGAAGTGACAGTTACTGTTAGGAGTGGGGAGTTTTGGCCCAGAAATCAGCAAGGAAAACTGATTGCGATTTTCATATTTAGGATCAAACAGTGATTTTAAGAAATGCTGTGCAGCCTTAATTTAGCATGGTGTGAATGGCTAGAGCAGTTGGAATTAAAAAAGGATGATCTGTCCTTAAGTTTGCAAATGGCTATTTTGCCTTCTCTTTCCTAGATTTGCATTATATTCAAAATATGCATTTGCTCACTTTGGGAGGAGCCCTAAAGAATATGGCTGTATTGTAATTTATCATTTGTTTGCCAACAAGGACATATTTACACTTAGATGATTATTGCATTTATGTCTTCTCATTTCATGCAAGTGCATTTCTTTGCAGAATAACCAATTTTATAATACAATAAAATGTAAAACTTGCAAGTATGAGTGAGGTCCTTCTGACATTTTTCCTTGGTTATCTTTCTGTGTTATGTGGGGTAAGGGAAGGGAGAGGGTTAGGGAGTTGTTGATCAGTGGAGAGAAAAATCCAGATTTTTCATTCATTGTGATACATTGTGAGAATGTAGTGTGAGCATGCCTGTAAGTAGTATTTATACATCTAAGGTGAGCAGGTTTTTCCCCAAATCTTTAATTTCATTGCTCTGATTTGAATGTCAGTATGGCCCAGTAAAATTAACTCTATTGCTGCATAAGAAACGAGGTGTAACTTTTTTCTTAGAATTGTGAAATGTGCTCATTGATTCATAAGCACGAAATATTAACAAAGAAAATTAGCTGTCCTACTTGAAATTAATTGAACTTCTTTATTTATTTTGGGGGGATGGATAAAAGGGGAGAGTTTCTATATTTGCTCATAATAGGTTCTATAGACCTTGATAAATATGTCTTCCTTATGTCTTATTGACACTTTAAACAAGAACTTAGTTTCAGTTTTAATGAATATCTTCATAAAAGTGATTACAAGTAGATATTAAAGAAGTTAAAATTTGGTCCATATTATTCAAGAATTTAAATGGACTACCGTTGATGGTAATCCTACTTATTTTGGAAACTACCTTTGAGATGGAAAAATAAATCGCCCAAATGAGTATTTCTGTCTGGTAAAACTTCCACGTCAGTTATTTTTAAAAGCAAACAATGTTCTTGTATCAGTGTTTTCAAAGTGTACTCTAGGGAATCCTGGGAGTCTCTGACACCCTTTCTGAGGAAATGTGAAAGGAAAACATGTTTATAACAATGCTAAGACATTATTTGCCTTTCACTCATAGTCTTTAACAAGTGTTCAGTGGAGTTTTCCAGAAGGTGAATGACGTGATGACATCATTGTTCTGATGGCATATGTCATGTGTGCTTACGTATTCTCAAGTTTTAGAATTTTTCTAGTTTATCAAAACTTAAATGTTGACAGTTACAGATATCATAATCAAACATCACTTTAGAGACCAAGTGTAGTGGCTCACACCTGTAATCCTAGCACTTTGAGAGGCTGAGGTGGGCGGATC